AAGAGAAGATGGTGCGAGTCAGAGGACAGCAAGTAGAATTCTTTCCATCTCTACTCTTTAATAGAATCACATGTGTTACGAACAACAGCTCAGAGATGAAATCCTTCTTGGCGTATGAACTTGCTCCCCAGCCACCTTCGCTCTTCCAAGATGGTGTGATGCGAAAACCAACAAAGAGTTCTGTGGGACTTCTGTTGAAAGAATTCACGCAACCAACCAGCCTACCTGAAAATTGCATCTATGTTCTAGATGGCGGTCACTTTTTCTAATCTGTTGTCTGGCCTAAACCGTCTACCTATGCTGATGGGCATCAATCGTACATTTCGTACATCCAGAGGCATTGCGGAGCTCAAACAACCGTGTTGTTTGACGGATATGGGGGTAAGGCATCCACAAAATAAGCTGAACAGAGGCGACTGGCCAGCAAAAACACTTCCAGAGACATCATACCCGGTGATGACATACCTACTACTACAACCCAGGCTGCATTCCTTGCTAACAGCAACAACAAGATGAAGTTCATTCGAGCTCTACGCGATAAAATGTTGATGGCTGGAATACGTGTCAAGCAAGCAGAGGCAGATGCCGACACACTGATTGTCTCAGCAGCGTTAGATCTAGCAGAGTCTGAGCAGCAACTGGTTGTTCTTGTTGGAACAGACACAGACCTACGTACTTGTCATGTTGGTGGCTCGGGTAGACACTACAACAGATGTGTACATGTTGTGCTCCAGCAATCCTGTAATGATCTACGACATTCATGACATTCAGCATACCATTGGAGAAACTATAGAGATCACTTGATGTTTTTGCACGCTGTAACCGGCTGTGATACAGTATCTGCAATATATCGTCAGGGCAAACGGAAAGCTTTCAACATGGTGCACAAGAAGGGTGAATATGACTTGCTTGATATATTCATCAACAACCGAAGCATTCATCCTTGCGACATGGAGCAGACAAAGTTGAAACGTTGGATGAATATCGCAACATTGCATACAAGCGTGCAATAGCCCGCAGCTCATTGAGTTCTTTATTTCAACTCGCAAGCTTACTCCCAACAAGTGCGGCAGCAAAGCAGCATTCATACCGGACATATCTAACTGTTCAAGAATGGATTGGCAACAGCCTGCCTCCTACTGAATGGGGATGGCGATCTCAAGATGGCAGTCTAGCACCTGTGGGAATGGACATCCCTGTTGCACCTGACATTCTTCTCAACATGGTGTTTTGTGGATGCAGACAGGATGGATGCAGCAACATGACATGCAGCTGCAAGAAGCTTGCCTTATTCTGCTCGTCAATGTGCAGCAAATGCATCGTTTGGAAATCTATAAAAACTGCAATAATGACTCTCAGAATGATGGTTACAATCGGCTACAAAACACGACACGCAGTTAATGTTACCAGAGCACATATGATTGTGTAGAACCAGTGGGCTCGTTGTCATGCCACCGTGACGTCATCACTTCGGAGCTCTATAGAGATCAGTGATCGCAAACTGCATGCAGTGCCACTAGACTGGTACCCGTTCGCCACCTTCACTCCGGCATATATCCTTCGCTACACTGCCGTTAGTGTACGGTGTACGTTAGTGTAGCGTGTGGAACTGTCGACCGGGTACCAGCCTATGCCCCGTGCCGCTTCGGGATTGTCTATATTTAGGCCGGTACAGGAGATAATTTGCATATTTTGTCACGTGGTTTGTGTTAACCAATCAGATGTAATCGCGTATTCATGACGTCACTTCCAGCTGTATCGCAAAGCGATCTCATGTGCAGAAGTGTGAAGCATGGTGAGGTGGTGGAGAAGGAGGAGGAGAGAAGCTGGTGGAGAAGGAGAAGGAGGAGAAGCTGGTGGAGAATAAGGAAGGGGAAAAGGGAGAAGGTGGTGGAGAAGGAGGAGGGGAGAAGCTGGTGAAGAAGGAGGAGGGAGAAAAGCTGGTGGAGAATGAGGAAGGGGAGAAGGGAGAAGCTGGTGGAGAAGGAGGTGGTGGAGAAGCTGGTGGAGAAGGAGGAAAGGGAGAAGAGAGAAGGTGGTGGAGAAGGAGGAAGGAAGAAGCTGGTGGAGAAGGAGGAAGGAGAGAAGGGAGAACGAGGTGGAGAAGGAGGGGAGAAGCTGGTGGAGAACGAGGAGGGGAGAAGGGAGAAGGTGGTGGAGGAGGAGGGGGAGAAGGGAGAAGGTGGTGAAGAAGCTGGTGGAGGAGGAGGGGGAGAAGGGAGAAGGTGGTGGAGGAGGAGGAGAAGCTGGTAGAGAAGGAGGGGAGAAGCTGGTGGAGAAGGAGGAAGGGGAGAAGGGAGAAGCTGGTAGAGAAGGAGGGGAGAAGCTGGTGGAGAAGGAGGAAGGGGAGAAGTAGGGGGAGAAGGGAGCTGGTGGAGGAGGAAAGGAGAAGGGAGAAGGGGATAAGGAGGGGGAGAAGGGAGCTGGTGGAGGAGGAGGGGAGAAGGGAGAAGGGGATAAGGAGGGGGAGAAGGGAGCTGGTGGAGGAGGAGGGGAGAAGGGAGAAGGGGATAAGGAGGGGGAGAAGGGAGCTGGTGGAGGAGGAGGGGGAGAAGGGAGAAGGGGATAAGGAGGGGGAGAAGGGAGCTGGTGGAGGAGGAGGGGGA